CCTGATTATCGGTATCGATTTCACAGCTAGCAACGAATGGCAAGGAAGAAAGAGTTTTTCCGGGCGATCTCTTCATCATGTTTTCAACAGCACGAAGAAACTGAACCCATATCAGCGCGTGGTGCAGATAATTAGCAAGACTTTAGAACCATTTGATGAAGACAACCTTATACCTGCGTTTGGATTTGGAGATTTATCGACAAAAGATCACAGCGTATTTAGCTTTAACGTAGACGGATCTCCTTGCAAAGGCTTGGATGATGTTTTAACGCAGTACAGCGAGGTTGTGCGTCGAGTTAGTCTGAGCGGACCAACTTCTTTTGCTCCGCTTATCAACAAAGCTGTAGAGATTGTTAAACAGGATCAATCTTTTAATATTCTAGTCATCGTGGCTGATGGCCAAGTCGTGGAAGAACACGATCAAAGCACACGAGAGGCGATTGTGGAGGCGTCGAATTTTCCCCTGGCCATCTTAGTCGTTGGTGTTGGAGATGGACCTTGGGACCGCATGAAAGAGTATGACGAACTTCTTCCACAAAGACGCTTCGATAACTTTCAGTTTGTAGAGTTTGAAGAAGTTATACGCAATGCCAAGTATCCAGACACTGCGTTTGCGCTACATGCTCTCATGGAAATTCCAGATCAGTATAAGGCAATCATTGAACTTGGACTGATGCAGTCTAAGAGCAAAGAAGATTAATTTCAGTTCTCCAGTTATCTGCGGAATATCTGGGTCATCTATATTTCGCTTTTTCACATTCATTCATGAAATATAGATCCTTGTTTATTAATATTTAAGGTTTATTCACGGCAGAGTTAATTATCAGAGCACAACTGAGGAAAAAACGGAATATTTATTTGTTTCTACACAACGTTGTTTTTACATTGATATGTTAATATATTTAGTGCAGGTGAAACCTACTTCTTCAAATTATGTTCTCAGTAATATTATGAAGAAGAAAATATTGTTTTGCCCAGTGCGGTCCAGTTCTACAATTTTGATTTGCAAGTCTTGTTTGCTATTCAGTTGAATCATAATTGTTGAACCCCAAGCAGAGCATTGCTACATTTGTTTTAATGGGTTTGCATACTGGGTTAAGTGGGTGGGGTAGTAGAGGGTTTGGTGATTCATTTCCCCCAGGGGGTCTCTTAAATCAAACAGGCAGGGATGCTAGTCATTTGGGGGCCAAAAGTGCAGATCTTGGTTCCGAATTTCAAGAGACAGGGATGATTGAATGGGGGCAAAAATTGAAACCCCAAAAAATCCCTAGGGCTTCCAAAAAACCCCCCAAAAAATCCCTGAACCAAAATTTAACCCCCCAAAAATCCCATGCCGAATTTCCGAGCCATAAAAATTTCCAGAGGAACTATGTGGCCAGGATATGCGGGAACTATCACGAATCTTAAGATTGTTTTGAAAACCCAAAATCAAGCTACCCAAAAAAATACTTACCAAAATTTTTTTACCCCCCAAAATCCCGAAATCGAAAATTTCAAACCCAAAAAAATCCTTCGATCATCCCTGTCACTTGGAATCCGTAGTACCCACCCTCTGGGATCTTGGTATAGTGTTCAATATTGGAATACCAATATTTTTACCCAAACAGGAATCACCTGTGGTAGGGTGAAGAAATAGAGAAAGCGCAAGCAAAGGAAACAAAAAGAAGAAATCAATCATTGACGTCTTAACTTGGCTCTTTAAGAATGGTATCATATAGGGCTCAAATAAAGTTTCAGCCACACCCAGATTGGTCTAATTGAAGGGGTTTAAGCACCCCAGTCCCCATCTCATGGAAATCACCCCCCTTCCAAGACATTGAGATGGGTGGGTAGCATAGACTTAATCCTGGTAATAAAAAATGTGCTTGATAGTAACCCTTCTTAAGGACACAACAGTATGGATGCCAAATATGATTTATTTGCAGAGAGAAATTTAAGGGTGAGTTGGAAGTTCTCCTTTAAAAGAATCACCTATATTTACTGACTTGTACAATGATTTTGCTGAAATTATCTGAAATGATATGTATATTAAGTTGCAAATTTCCCTGTTTGATTAATAATTAATAACTGACAATTCTTTTTCTTCATTGTTTGAATCCAGCCTTTTTGGATAAATAACCTAGTCACAAATTATTGTTTTGATAGTTCCCTTATTTACCCATGTTTGTGATCTCCTGTGGAATATCATGACCACTTTCAGCAGGGAACGTTTTGTCCATGTCTGTTAACATGTAGATCCCAAATGATGTCAAAATGTGATAAGAAAAATCTGTTGTGGTAAGTTGGTCGGTGATGATCTTACCACATCTTTGTCTTCTGTGATGCCAAAACAGATGCACAACAAAGTGGAACCTATTATCTTTTATATAGAAGGGGAAGCAAAATATGGCCTTAAAGTGGTCAGATTGTGTGAGGATTTTCCTGACTCTGAAAATAAGTTTACTTGAAAAAGACCACTTTTTGCTCATGCAATATTCTATACTAATTCTTACGTAGTGTAGAACAATCTTGTCCTTGTTTCCTTTGTTGGATAACATGGGGTGAATAGTAATAATTGAAGGCTAACTGTTAAAATGTTTGGGCAGTTTTTCTTTTAATTTGCATTAATTAATATGTGCCTCGATTCTTTTAAGTGACATTTTACGGGAAATTATATTGTCTAGAGAATAATATGTTGATTTTTTAATGCAAAGTGCCAGTCTCTCATGCCAAATGGCTCATTATCCAAGGATAACTTTTTGTTAAATCTATTATGTACTGCACATCATTCAAATAAGTGCCCAGATGTTTGTTTAAATTTTGGCCACAATAGGATGGGAGTTCGTAATTCAGGCAGCATCCATAGTCTAAGTTTTGAAGAGAATGAAGCCTTCTGTGTGATATCCTAATATTATGTAACCCTTCAAGTCCCAATGGTGACCAATATCAATTTTCTCCTAACAATATCCATACATTGTCAAGAGATTAGGTTATGTGAATTAATAAAATGACCACCTAAGAGAAAATGCCTTGATCTTTCATCAAATTCTCTCAACACATTCTTTCTGAAAATGTATAGAGATCAGTTGAGAGAATTTGTATGTGGATATTGGGGCTTAAAAGGTTAAGAAGGTGAGAGCGAAGGGAGGGGCATCCACTCAAAGAATGGAGTTTACTGATACTTATTTGTGCTTAATTCAGGGTGTCTGCTTAAAACATTAAGCTTCACCATATTTTCACACCAAAATAAATACAGTTGAAACTCTCCTCAATGGCCACCTTGGGGACAGAGGAGAGTGGCTGTTGTAGAGAGGTTTAAGCAAGAGTCAATATATAGACTGTCCATTAAAATAAGTGGCCATTGAAGACAGGTGGCCTAGGCAGAGGTTCAACTGTAATAAGGAACCATGTAATAATGTACAGCTCATTAGGATGTACATTACCACTGTTTTTTTACTCTCCTTAGTCCATTCCTTGACCTTTTAATCAGGGTTGGCCACAGGAGCAATACTACCTTATTGGTACTCAATTTTGTGTGTCTTTGATTTAGCGTTTTTCGTGATTGTGGAAAAATTGCAAAGTTTAATGCCCAGATAGAAATTTCAAATCACAGAAAAAAATGAATAACATTAATTTTAACAAACACCGACAAGTTATTAGCTGGTTGTACTGGTATGTTCCATTCTGTGACTGTCTTCTGTTGGGAAATAACATTCATATGCATTCTGCTTGTTTCATTTCATCTCGATATTTCAAAAAGTTCAGAAGATTTAAAACTAAAATCAAGTTGAGGATACTTGAATCACGAAATTTAAAGCCCTTTTTCATATTTGCCCAATGAAATCCCAAAAGTAAAACCCTGCGAAATACTGTCTTGCCAGAATCACAAAATTAAGTACCCACGAAATTAAGTACCAATAAGTTATAACATTATACTTGCCACCTCCCACCCACCGAAAAAAAAAAATAGTACACTACATGTATATCCCCCCCCCCAAAAAAATACAACCATAATATTACTTACTAATTGCTACAGCACCAAGATAATATTATATGCCCAATTATTATCATTTTTTCTTTTCAAAAACTTGTGTACCATAAATCCAATAGCCTGCTGGCCAACCTTGTATAGAGGGTCTGTATAAGAGATTGATAAATACATCAGGGTTCCATTATTGCAGCAAATATAACAAAAATGCTTACCAATGTTTCAGTGGCTTTTTGGTAGCTTTTTTTTCCCCAACAAAAAGATACAGATACTTTTAAAATAAAACTTTATTTTTATAATAAAATATATTATAATGTTTCAGATAATAGACAATCACAGGAGCTTGTACTTGTGATGAATTTAAAAAAAGCTCAACCAATTCACTAACACTTCAAATAAAAGAAGTTACAGATGAGTCAATAGCCAGCAAGTAAAAAATGCAGGTCACAGGTCACAAGTCCAGGTTAGAGTACAGGTCTCTGTACTACAGTAAATAAACAACACTGTTTATTTCATTCATCAATAGAGCAGTGACTTGCAATTGTGACCTGTGACTTGCATTTTGTACCTACCAGTCAAATAGCTCATAATGACCTGGAGAGAACCTTTTTATTTCTGTCAGCATTATTTACTTATGAACAAAAACACATCGCGAACAAAGCGTCTGCCATATTGCTTTTGATATATTTGCATGAGGTCTGGGTCAGAGTGACCTATGATTGGTCCATGGCCTTGTGCTTATGTTGACCCAGTTTTCGCTAGTCAAAGCTGCGACGTAAGCACAAGCACAAGCACAAGAAGTACGAACTTGTCTGTTTTTCTTGTGCTTATGCTCAGGCTTATGTCGACCCAGTTTTCACTTGCTTACACATGTGCTTCTGCTTATGCTTATGTGCTAGTGAAGACCAGGCTTAAAGATGGTGTTACATGGGACGATTCGCAACGACTATTTTTAGGACAACACAGAGTTGCAATTGCTGGAACAATGTTGTAACCATTCGAAACAATGTCGCAACAATGCTGCAACGCTGTGTTGCGCTAAAAATCATCGTTGCAAATTGTCTTGAGTAACATCATGGCCTTAAGAGCCCAAACTGGCATTTGTCATTCACCCCATGTAAGGGAATGCGGATTCCGGAATCCAGGAAATTTATGCCTGTAGTGGAATATGGAATCCTGGGCTTTTGAATCCAGAATAAAGCTCAACGAATCTAGAATCCCACTAATGACAGGTATCCGGATTCTAAGTTCCACTGACAAAGAATCCATGCAGAATCCAGTACCTTGTTTGGATCTGGAATCCAAGAGTGTCTTGGATTCCCTTACATGGGTCGATGTCATGTTTTGATGTCAGTTAGGGTGCTTTTCTTTTGGAGAATCCACTGTAACTTATCTAATCTGAGATTCTTTGGATTTGTTACTGATCAAGTGGATTCTTTTCACTGACGGCAACGTTGGTGCCATGTGATGAGAATAGGGCAGCCTTGTATCTTCAAAGAACAACTGTTTGGCATGTGTCCTTCTTTTCTCTCCAGGGTAATTTGGCCTTCTTATGAGTTGAATCAACTCAACTGAGGCCAACCAACAATCAACCAATCAGAGGTCACAATTTACTAAAGAGGAGTGTGGCTCTGGCAGTCTGCTAGCCAATAAAAATCAAGAACAGTTCTTTTAAATTTCAAAGTGTTGGTGAATTGGAGAAATTCCATAAACTGTAAGTTATGTGGCCATCAAAAGTCATAATCTTTGATTACATTATAAATTGAACAATAACAAAACTTTAGAGTACACAACTTATGGTTATGGAAATAAAGACTACAAAATGTCCGTTCTGCTTCTGCACAAATCATACCAACTGTCTTCAAGTCCACAACAGCAGCATTTAGCTATTTTTTGTCACGAACTGTCATTTACTTGGTTGCAATGTACAATCCACAGATATCAGTTTGTAATCCAAGTCTCCATAAAACCCAATAATATATACCTGCAAGGAAAGAAAGATAGCATTTAGTAGTACTGTACATGTCTTATTAATATTTTTAAATATTTGGATCCATTTTGTTAAACAGCAAGTTCAGATATCTACTGAGACAAAGCTACAAAAAGTGTTAAATATTATTTCAATAATTATAACAATTATAATAATAATTATTATAGTAATGATTAATAATTACTAATGACCGTGTCGCAAGTGGAGGTTGGTTGCCCATGGGCCAGGGGACTGCAACTACAATGACACCCCAAGGCAGAAGAACACCCACAGGCCTACCAACCAGCAACCCAGCCACGTGTTCTCAAGGCGACTACTACAATTCAAGAACTTTTCAAGATTGTACGAACCATGAAGAATTAATAAAAGTATCACCAAAGGGAAAATGCTTTGATCTTTAACCAAATTCTCCTCATTAATTCTTTATGTAAATGTGTGGAGAACAGGCTGGAGAATTTGTGTGTTGATATTCATGGAGCTTAAAGGCTAAAAAACCAGGTTCTTACTGGCAAGTTTTTACTGTATCTCACCCAGAGAATGAAGCTAAAGAAATATAACTCGATCAACTTTCTTCAATCAACAAATGTTGTCATCAATGTTTACCTTTCTTTCTGATTTTTTTCTAGAGGATCATTTTCTTCACATCTTCAATGATGTCACTGCTTACTGGAAACTTGAGTTTGCGGGGTGGTCCTTTCTTGATTCCAGTCCAGATCAGAGACTCTAATACATACATACATAACCTTTATTTTGACTTGACCTTTAGTATAGTACATGAAGTGAGAGACATGCAGTAGAGGAAGGCAAGCACCCTGTGCCCACGTCACACTTGCAAAAAGTAAAAAGCAAAAGCAAAAAAAAGTTGAGAACACCCTTGTTCTGTAGGCCTTGAGATTTTTAAACATGTTTCTGGAGAAAAAGGGAATGATACATGTGCATCAAGGAAAACACTTCAGTACTAGGAGCCTTACTTTAATACATTATTTTTACCTTCTCCATCTTCCTTGACAACTGACAATTCAAAACTCTTTGACCGTGGCTTTGTTTCATTGATAAGGACTTTGGCATTGGGGAATGCACTCATCAGATCTGAGGACAGCTGATTGGCATTCCGTTTATACACCTGTCAGGATTTACTAGGAGAAAATGCATAAAAAGAGTGATATAATGGTTAACACAGGGACAAAATAATTTGTTATTTTAATTAACTACATGATCAATGAGTGCAAAAGGATTATTAAAGAAAGGCGTGGTCAAACTAATTGGATTCAGTTCACCCTGACATGGGTGACAATGGGCATTTGTAATATGATTGCCAACCACTCCTAATGCCATTCCAGAATTTATTTTTGCAGCCCCATGTATTAATAATCAGTGGTAGGTAGGTAAGTGGCAGGGGGGGGGTGGAGATGTTCGTCCAGTCCCTAAGATAAAAGGTTGTCGTGCGATATGACGTCATCTATAATTCCTTCCCTATCAATTCTCAATATTTGATGACGTGGGGGTTGACTACCCTGGTTATCGGTCCCTGTAAAACGCTACTGCGCACTTTTGTTTTCACCATGCAAATGAGTACGTGACAACAATAGTCCCATTGTTTTCTAACCCTAACTACAATAGTCCGCAGTCAGTCCACAGTCTGCATTTTACATTGCCCCCTTTTGTAAATAAGTAACCGGGTATTCTGAAGTTAAGCCAGCTCAAAAGCTTAGTAAACAAAGCTGACAATGTTCACATAATTACGTAAGACATACCAGTGCTCGATCTTGAATGTCAGACTTTTCGAGGATTCTTTCTTCTTTTTTGCAGGGCTTTCTTCATCAGAGAATTCTTCTTTTTTGTCGACTTCTGTTTCCTTTTGCGCTGCATCGGAATTGTCTTCCGTTTTCCGTTTACGACCACGAGGCATAACTGGATTTTCCGACGGATTTTGGCAATCGGATCAAAATCTGCAAACTACTTTGGAATGAAGTGCTACCCGTGTCTAATCTGGGCGCCAAGGCGCCAAAACTACAAAATATTTTCGCATTATAACAAATATTTCTATTGGCTACCTTTTCATTGACCAATCAGAGTCTGGATTACATTTTCAAAAACTGATGCCGCCGCTGTCCCAACATTTCGAAGTACTAAACAAAATGGCGGACGAAATTGTTGGGAAGAGGATACTATGTGAAGGTTTTAGAGGAGAAATTAAATATGTAGGGCTCGTTCCTCCAACTTCAGGTACGTATGTGAAAAATATTTCATCTGACATAAAGCAGCTTGAGTGGTGTGGAACGAAAACTATCGATGACTTCTTCATTGCGAAGATTGAGCGAGGCGAGAAACGGAGTCTCAATCTACAGCTGTACCGCGTGATTCAGACCCAGATTCTGTTAGTTTGGTCTATTTGTTGCATTAGAAATAATGTGATGCTCGTCAAGAAGCATATAACACCGAGTAAGCTACATTTTCATGGCAAGAAAATGGGAAAGAAGGCCTTTTTAGGCTTGTAGGTTTTGTTTACCCATTTTCAGACCACGTGATGGTACCACAGAAAACTGTTTCTTTCAAATGTCATCCTATATACTATGCACGTGCTTATGACAAGGCAAAAGGCACATTCCCTTGAAACATCATATGGTCTGAATTGGGAAAATAAAACATAAAAGCTAAAGAGGTCTATGGCTTCAAACAAGATTGAGCTTATGCAACAGGATGGCAGAAAGAAGAGAACAGCAAAACGTTTGTGTTTGACATGCATGACAGGGCTATTACTTAAGTGCTTTTTGCAATCTTCACTTACTGTAGCCTCCCTGTGTTATGGGTTTTTGCAAAAAGATCTGTTTGGAGGAAGGTGAAGTTTGGCAGAAATTTTTTTGAAACATAATTATTGTTTTGCTAGTCACACAAGGTGTTGTCATCTTCTTTCCTTAGCCATCCCTTGAGTGAGGTCACTAATGATTAAGCTAATTATGAATACCTTGAGATGTCCCAGCAACCATCTGCTAACCACTTTAGCTGTTTGCCTTCATTCTGGTGGCCCCTATCTTAACAATTTTGATGGTTAACTCATATGGAGGAGTGGTTTTTGCTTGTCAGTGAAGGTGTAAACAGTAATCTATCATAAAGTAATGTTCTGCATAAGAGGACACCAAGACATGCCCTCTTTATGGTATATATTGGCATTCTGACAGTAAGCTTGGACTTCAGCATTCAAGGGTGCCAGTGGCAGCCACTATTGGTCCATTTATGAGCTTACTGTAACCCACCCATACCCCATTATATGAATGACGCATGATGCATCAAAGGTAGGCCACACCACCGGGGAAACTTCCCGTACTCTTGTCGGACAGTAGTGTGGGTTCTTTTTTGTCCCTTTCAATTTTAAGTATGAAGGAGACAAGGCCAATGGCTTAATGTCACCACCCAATGAGGCAATCATCATCTCAAATCACAGCAAGCATGATCTCACCGGTTTTTAAAGACCCTGGTTGTCGGTCCGGCCGGGGTTTGAACCCACGACCTCCCGCTTGTCAGACCCATGCTCTCCCAACAGAGCTAACCAGGCAGCGGTTAGCTCAGTAATGGAAGAAATGGTAATGGCAGAACGTTACTCTTTCTCTTGTTAGGTGAATGGTATGGTGTTGAGTGGGATGACCATAGCAGAGGTAAACATGATGGTACTCATGAAGGCGTTAAATATTTTGAAAGCAGGTATGAATGTCACATTGTGGTTAAACATTGAAACATTTTTATCTCTAGCGCTTTGTAGAAAGACTATTATGTCAACTTTGCTGTTACAGCAAGGAGCCCAAAAGTGTGACCTCCTTTAATTAACTCACATTCTTTCATGCAGACATTAACCAATCAGATGTCGAGGACAGTTTCCAGCTGGCTTCTGATTGGATTAAATCTGTATGAAAGAATGTGAATAAATTAAAAGCGGTCACACTTTTGGGCTCCTTGCTGTAAATGATTTTCCACGTTTGTGACCATTCATCAATAATAATTTTCATCAATCAGTTTGCATCAAAAGCAAACGAAGTAATGTTAATTTCTAACTCACTTTGACTTGTAATTAACTAATGTAAGTAAGCATGTAAAGCTATATTAAACTATATATTTATCATGGATGTACAGGAGCATAGCCAGCTTTTTGACTAGCTGTAGGCCTGGCTGATTTTCATTTCCATATATCCTGAAAATAGCACGGATGAATAGTACGCACTGACCTCACCAACACTTTGACCTCTTAATAAGCTTTTTAGCTCACTCCAACGTCACATATAGAACTTATTACAAGCAGCAGAGTGATCAAAACAAATATTTGTAGGCCTGGGCCTACAGATCTACAGGTTGGCTATTCCCCTGGATATATGCTCAAATGCATTTTGGGCTTATTTTTACTAGACACCCAACGGGTGGATCCTTTGTAAGACCGAAGAAGGTGGACTTTGGAATAAGTATCTTTGAAGCCCTGAAACAGCGCTATGGACAAGGTGGTGACAGTATTAATGAAGAGGACATGTATGTTATGAGTGGCAACAACAGATGGAAAGCTGTGGAAATGGTTGGAGCAGATTCAATTCAGCAAAAACAGAGGTACTTGATATTGAACAGGACTTAATTGACATGATGTCATGCCTGATTCACACCCAATATAATAATATTAATATTGTCTGTTGCTTAAAGTGCTCAAATATTACTTATTTTTCATCTGATAAATATAAACTGTACCAAGCCGTTTTTTATCTGCTCGAAAGAAGCTATAGCTTTAAGCAAATAGAATAACCTTTGTTATTTATAGTGTTAAATTGCTGAAATATATCTTCTTGTTAAGAGCAATTAATTTTGTAAAACTTTTTCAAAGCTTTCATGCCAGTGAAGTTGAAGGGAATGTCATCACTTTCAGTTTCTCATGATAAGGTCATTTCCAAAGTTCATCTCAGCCAATCATCGACTTTTTTGATGCAGAAATTCAAATTTCTGGGACATGACTGGAAGCTCTCCTTTTCTACAGTGTCCTGCCTCCAAAACTCCCTTGAGATCTTGCTCAGAGGTTAGCAAGCTAGTTTCTGCTTTCTGCTTTCTACTGGATGCATACACTATAGTATGTGTTCATTTTTCCTTGCATGGAATGGTAAGGCCTACTGTCTGCTTATATGATATCAGTATTATGTAAACCCATAATAATTTATACATTTTCAGTGACTACAAGACACTAAGAGAGGTTAGTTTAAGAGGCCTAACAGTAAATGGACCAGATAAAGAAAATGACTTTTACAAAGTTGCACCAAGTATCCTTTTCACTACTACAAAATGAAGGTCTGCATGAAATAAAAGCCCCAAGAAATCCCCAGGGGGTACTCCGGATTTCAAGTGATGGAGATAATTGAATAGCGCTGGAGCAAAAATCCAACCCCCCCAAAAATTCCTAGCACTCCCAACAAAACCCCCAAAAAATCCCTGGATCAAAATTTAACCCCCAAAGATCCCATGGCTAATTTCTGAGGCCAAGTCTGGTTGTACTTTATTCACAGAACTACACTGCTCATAATTTATATTAATGTGTTTGTGGCAGGCTGGTTGCATCTTTGTTGGCCATCTTGTGCTGTGTGGGTTTTGATATGTTTCATATCTCCTCCTGTTCTGTCATTAAAAGAAATAATTTTTCACTGCTTAACAGTGTGATAGGTGTCTGTTAATGCCTTGTATGGGGACCAGCATGGCTTGGTTGCAAAGATCATTGCTACAGCAAGTTGCAAACATGTTAAGACACTCCGACAAAAAATTGCCTTTTTTTACTTATTAATAAAATCACTGCTAGTCACACGTCTGTGAGATATAACACTCACCCCCTCCCTCCCCTGCATTCAAAGTTGTTCCTCCAAGTTTTTTCTTGTATTGCTAGCAACTTTAAAAAGGAAGGGGTTTCAATACGCACCGACAGCTGATGAAAGGCGTCGGCTAATTTGCTCATAGAAGAAGTAACTAGTTTGAATAACATTGTAAACAAAAAATATATCATAAAATCTGAATGAAAAACGTAATTATGATGTGTTTTCATAGAGGCCCACTGGTTTTACATAATGCTTTCAGTCATTTTTTTGACAAGTTTCCTCATAGGTTTGCGCAGAATTTGTTTACGTGCAAAAGTACATAATTTGGTTTTCATCATTTGCTCATGTTACAGGAATTGATTGTGTGACTGATAAATTGAAAGGTATATTTTCTTGAATGAAAAACACCCTCTTTTGTCCAAAAATTTAGTCCCCGAGAATGCTTAAAATTGCAGTCTAGAGCTTTGAATTTTCAAAATTTTCCGAGGCACAGTCTGAGGCACAGTTCCCCCCTCATAAAAGGGAACTACTGGCCCCTTGTTGATAGAGTTGGTTACTCTTTTCAAACCTGCTGGCTACTTCAATGTTTGAAACCCCTGAAGAAGGGGAGGATGGGGAATCACAAGCACAAGATCTTGATCAGGCCATTTAAACCTTGAAGGTTCAGTTTTGCAAGTATTTTTGCAACTGGTTGTAGCCTTGGAAGCAGTGCTCAGTCTGACTGCCTGGCCCACCTCCAGTGGAAGCCTCTTGAAAACCCTGGCCCCCTAATGTCCTTACAGCAGAACAGTTGTTCTTATTAGTGGTTTTTTAACTTACAAGTGTTGTATATATATATATAATAATTATTATATATCACGCTCTACTTTAACGTATTGAGCACTCTACTACAGAAAAATCGAAACACAGTCTTCCTATATATTATATATATATATGCTGATTTTCTTAATGTTGGTATAGATATCTCAGAACTTGATCTTTCTAAAACTCTTCTGTCATCTTGGATGGACGTAGCAGCAATTACAAGAAATCTTGAACACCTTCAGATCCTTAATTTATCGTAAGTAACCATATTGTGTGGTGTTTCTCTTCCATATATTTTTATAATTTTTACATGATCAGTGGCTATAGAGATGTTCATTCATTGCATTCATTACCTTGTTATGAAGATTTCAAGTCCTTTTTGTGTTTACAGTTTCTATAATTAATTATAAACTGAAACACTATGCAAAAAGGGTTAATTGGTGGTCATCAGCATGCTTCTTAACCTGAAGGTGAAGTGTGACCTGTTGCATCTGAAAATAAGCGTGAGCTGTTGCATCAAAAATTATTTTTTGCCATGCAAGAAGTCAGTCTTTATTTTCTTGACATGAAGGTGAAGTGTAACTTGTTGCATCAGATGAATAACTGTTACCTTGTACGTCAAAATTTTTTCTTCAATGCAAGAAATCACCCTCTATTTTGTTTGATAAAACATTTTACATTTTATGCTTATAAATTAAGACTTGACAAGCCGATAAAATCACAAGTGCAAAACAGACATTAGACTACGAGTAGTCCCCCCATTTTTCCTCAGGGATAGTAGAGCGAGCGAAACGCGAGCGGGCGTGAAAATGAACCCACGCGAGAAAAGGCGACACGCGGTGGGGAGAGAGAAAAATGAGGGACTACAGACAAAGCCCAAGCTTTTGACCCTTCACGGCCGACTGATTTTGGAGTGTGAAGTTCGTATCCCCTTCCAAATCAATTAAGCGCATCCAATGGCATCCCTTCCCTTATTGAGCTGTCATTGCTCTTGTCATCGGTAAACTGCGGGGGATGTTTATTGCAAGCAAAAGAAAACCCAGATACTAATTTTCTTCATGGCTGTTTCGCGTGAAAAACTTGATAGTGTACGCAACACACGACTTTTACTCATGCCAAAATGCTGCTTATTCCAATGAATTTTTTTCTCTGATGGGTAGATTATGCTCTGGAGGAAAACGTTTTGACTGAGCAAATGTGATTTTTGCCGCGTATTTCATACTGAGAGGTCGAAACACGCATATTAATTTTCTGCGGTTATTGTCTATGGTCTGCATTATTTGCCCTCTGATGCAAGAGCATTTTCTTTGACCTCTTTTGAAAAGTAAAGCTCTCCAATGCGGCTAAATAAGAGTTTTGGGTTGTATAATTTCTCCGGCGATTGCCTCCTGGATCTGAATAATTTTAAGCGATTTTCTTTTTGGCCGTGAATGTGATGGTTTCCTACAATGTTTTGTCACACTGGGACCAGCTCGTTAGCGTTTTTAGCATGACGAATAGTGATATCCAAATCTCGAAGAATGGATTGCAGCTTAAACTAAAACTATATTAACTATGGAGAATTGCGATGTGACTCAGTCATGACTGCTCATGAATTTTAACTGCCGCTTGTTTTTCTGGAGATAATGTGAGTGTTTGGACTGGAGCACGTAGTTGCTCCCTTGCTGATAACTTTTGAATTAGCTTAACAGCCTTGCGACTGTTATGTTATTCCCAATTTGTGATCACGCAAGACCATGGTTTCGGTTCTCCACGCGAACCTCATCAGTTGCCGGGTTGGCTTTCTGCTTAGTTGCTTCAACAAGAGCAACTCTAGTTATTTGTTCTGTAAATCATGATTATGTCAAGCGTTGATAGCGGCTGGCGCGTTTTTGACAGATGCTGACAGATTTCCATGGAAGGGCCAATTAGAGTTTTGCGTTGTGAGAGCAACGCATTAGTTCAAAAGCTTGGGCTTTGTCTGTAGTCCCTCATTTTTCTCTCTCCCCGCCGCGTGTCACCTTTTCTCGCGTGGGGTGATTTTCAAGCGCGCTCGCGTTTCGCTCGCTCTACTATCCCTTGAGGAAAAATGGGGGACTACTCGTAGTCTAAACAGACATAACTGTAAACACATGCTCTCTCTTGAGGGCTCTTTTTCTTGTATGTGTGGGTGCAATGTAAAATAATGGAATACCAGTTATTATTGCATTACCCCTATACAGTCACATTTGTAACGCAACCATATGATAAAATATTGATTAATCTACTTTTTTCTTTAAAGGGAGAATTTCCTCAGATTACCTAGTGAACCAGAACAGCTTTTACCTTCATTCTCTACAGTTACAGTTTTATTCTTAAACAAGATGGAACTTGGTTTTGAAGAGGTAACAAAATCTCAAACTTGTTGTAAATTAAATCATTATTTATAGAGAAAGGACACTAAAATCTTGCATTTTTTTCATCAGGTAGAGGTTACAGTAGGCATGATGCCTTCACTAAAAGAGCTTCATGTTTGTCACAACTGCCTGAAAAATCTGAGGTAAATTTGGCCAAAGAGTAGCAAACTCCTTCCTGCTAACAATTAGCAGGAAGACCTTTATTGCTCATGACATGCACATGAAATATTTCTTTCCAGTGTCTACCATGTGATGATCCCTGGAAAGAATAAAATTGTATTGAATGTTATCTCTGATTCTCTGTAGAAGTAAAGATGGTCAACTTCATGACTTACAAGGATTCCAGAATGTAGAGTTACTCAATCTTGAGGGAAACCAGCTGTCAGACTGGACATCAATATTGAGACTGGGCCAATTACCAAGGTAATGATTAAGGTGTATCTATGCAATAACTGTAATCTCTGTAAGTGTTCAGCTTGGCCCAGTTCCTCTGAATAATCCTGAAGACAGTCTTTACCATTTTATGTTCTACCTTACTTCCTATTTAATTCCCTTTTCTACAAATAATTTTGAAGAGAAGAGAAGCAAAATCAGGTTTGGAGTAGGTTACTATTTACCTTGGCTTAAAAATTTCTAAAAAACTTACTGAACATTAATTTCACGCTTTGTGGAGGACGTTAACACAAGACAACAACTTTCTCTTTCTTTCTCTGAACTTTGATACAGTCTTTTAGAATTCAACTCACGAAAAATTGCCAACATTTGACGAATTGAATGAGATGGAGTAAAGCCATGGGAATTCACTTTTTAAGGTATCTGCACCGGCAAATTTTCAACATTTTATTTTGCCCTCAAAATCTTTCTACAGTAAGTTCAGATGATGTGATATGCATAACTGGTGTTCTTTTTTGAATATACCTTCGCATTTAAGAGAAAATCTACTCAAAAGTTGACTGATTTACCGGAAGTTAAAGAAAATTTTTCACTTCCGTTGCTAAGAAAAAGAACGGCAGTAGCGCAATTTGACTCCTTTTTTCGGCATCAAGTTCTGTTGATGCGCTGAACAAAATCTATTCACTGCTTGGATTCATTGACAAACTACAGCGGCTGTATGTCCAACTTGATTTTTCTTGCTTCTGTTAAAGCTGTGATGACTAATATTACTTGCTACTTGTCAATATTTGTTATGTTCTTGAAATATACTCCGTTTTCCAGGGCTTATTATTGTTTTAAATTTACATTACATCGGTGTGTCTTCTCACCTGATATATTCTGACAATTTTGCCGGGAGAGTAAAACGTTTTCTTGGCCCCTAATCCTCTGGTCTGTTTTTCTACCAATTTCTTTCACTTTACAGAAGCAATTCTTTTCATTTTTGAATAAAACTCTTCTTCAATCTTCATACTTCGGCCCGCTTCACTGCATTATAGCTGACACTGAGTAACGCATCTTCCGGAAATGCGTCACACCTTGCAACTGGTCACGTATCAAAATCCAAGGGGGCTATAGAGAGGTCATTTGGCATTTTCTTAGGCTTCGACGAGCATTTTAGACAGCGGTGATTCAAAATGGCGGGCAAGAAGGTCTGTGATGGTAGTATCGAGCAAAAACAGTTGATTTTGAGAAGAAAATAAGCTTTTTTACACTGGAAAAGCATTAATTACCGCGTGACCGATTTACCTTGACTTACGGGAACCAGTTTTTTGGAGGAATGGATCATTATATCTTCGTGAAATTTGGCAAATACACAAAGAGCATGTTGATGAACAGATCTGTGTTTGACCAAAGAATGAAATTACCATACGGCTGAGTTACTGAAGTCCAAAGAGGGATCAAATTACAAAACAACAAATTGCCCTCTAGAGGGCGTATTTCTCGGAGCTGTGTCTTGGTCAAACACAGGATTGTTGCTTTTTACGTCCCTGTTTGTGTTGCATTTCATTTTTCCCACAAACTGTTGTGGTTTTTGTGAAATTTGAATTCTTCTCTTTCCATGCCACCCCCAGGGGGTAATTAAAATAGCACCTTTAGAGTGATGTAGCCTTACAATTTTTTCACTACTTTTGTTCCTTATGGACCAAAGAACAATGTTATTGTCTAACATGTAGATAATACTCTTACATTGGATGTCAGTGTATCACCTAAAATGTGCAGAATTTGCCGGTGCAGATACCTTAAGTGATGTTTTCGCTGCTATCACCATCTTTATTGCTTAAGCTACGTAATCTCATCTCTCATCCTCTGGTGCCCAGTGGGCAAAGTGCATTCACATAAGCTAACATACCCTGAAGTGATTGCAAGGGATTCAGTACTTGACACCTGGGACCTGAGTACAGCCATGGTGAATTGTGGTGTTTGGGAAGAAATTTCCACAAATGTCCCATCCACAGCAGTGGTCAAAGGATGATAATGATGATGATGATAGTGATCTGTACAGAGGCTGTACAGAGGGATAGATAACCTGTATATGTTAACTAGGTCAATGAGGTACATTTGTATACACAACACTACTTTTCTACCTTATTATAGGAAATGAACACTCCATGAAATTAACGTGAATCGTTAAAATTCGCGTTAATTTAAGTCGCGTTAATTTTGTTAAGCGTTAATTTCCTCGACGTTAATTAAGTGCAGTGTTAAATTCCGCGCTCTTAATTTCCAGTATTTTAACCCTAATTTTGGAACCTGTCCAGACATTCTTGACACCTAAAAAACATTAACTACAAGCTTTCTTTCTTTCCATTTACCCTATATTTTTCATCTCTCACAAAAGCTAAGGCGAAGGTTTACAATATTTCGAGTTCATCTTCATCATTGTCTCATTGTCACTCTCAGATGTGATGTCAATATCTTCACCTTTGATTTCGGCCAAGATAATCGCGTTAATTTCCTTTATTATGAAATTCTACCTCCTCTTTCGCAATAATGTTCTTTATTCGAAAGTCGTTTTCCATTAAATTCACGCTAGTTTAAGTCGCATTAATTTCCAATACATACCTTAATTTCATGGAGCGTTAATTTCCTATATTAAGGTATGCACAACAGACTGAGCTGGATAATTTACAGTTACATTTTTTATTGATCATTTCCCTTCAGTAATGCATGTATTTATATCACATTAATTTTTCTTTTAGACTCAATTGTCTTATATTGAATGACAATGGAATAGAGAGTATTGAATTAGGAAACAAAGTACAAGGTTTGTTTCAATTTTATACCTCTCTTCATCTTCTTCATTGTCTCCTCCTTCTTCTTCTTCTTCTTCTTATTATTATTATTATTATTGAAAGTGACTTGAAAACTTTCTTTTGTTCCATTAAATTTGCTATATTAACACTGCATTAATTTATGTGATAAATGTGATATTCTGTTTAGAATGGCAAGCTGACAAGCTTCTGTACCCAGTTTTACAATCACTCTTCCTTAGCAGAAACAAAATAAGTCAGGTAAGTAAATGCAAAGTGTTCTTTCTGTTCTGGTTTCGATCATCATCCGATTATGTTTCTAACTAAGGCATTAATTTTTGTAGAAAAAAATATACAGTGGAAGCTCGATATAACAAAGGGCCAAGGGACTGGCAAAATTATTTGTTGGCTTTAACAAGGTTTGGTTATATCCAGGTCCTTTTTGATATATTTTACTATTTCTGGGGTGAAGAAAATGGTTTGTTATACTGCTCAAGGACTTTGCTATATAGAGGCTTGCTATATCGAGGTTCCACTGTATAAAAAGGTTGGCTCTAACAAAAATGCTTTGAAGCACAAATGCATGAATGTCAGAAATTCAGGGTGACCAACAAGGACAAAAGCAAAGAATTTAATTTTTAAAAAAAGGAGGATTGGTGGTAAAATTATCTTGTCTAACATAAACATGCATAAGGGCTGTTAAAATCAGATTTCTATTAACAGTTATGAAAGAGATGAAATAAATGTCTGGTCAATAGAAGTTACTGACAACCTCTCATAAAACTGTTGGGGTGCTCATGATAAGCAAAGCCATCCATTACAAAACAATCAAGGCCAGCACACTGCTATGATTAACAGTGTTGATCAAATGCTTACTGTGTGGCAATTAATTTATTGAAGATGGTAATATTAGGCTCAGTGAATAACATGTGGAAAGCTGTTAAAATTTTGTTGTGTTGTGAGCATTGGACTTGTAGAAAAAATCTGATTCCTCAAGCAGATGAACTCATGAGACTTTGAAAAACATGAGTGGTATTTCTATACTCCTAAAAGAAACCAAAGCAAAACTTCTCCCAAATAATTTCCAATTTTTTTTTTCATAAAACCTTAAGAAATAAAAAGGTCTGCCATGGAGGTTTGAGTTGAACGGTAACACCATAGGAATGGATAACATCCACAGTTAAAAATAAGTGTAGCAAATAATCTAGTTGCAGTTAACAGTCTTTGAAGTCTTAAGAATGACAATCAATTTTTCTCTAAACAGTATCAATACACAATCAAGAGAAGAGGTTGACATGAGAATTGATAAAGTAATCAGCTGGGAAAAAATGCTTTAATCTTTTATCAAATTCTCTCAACTTATTCTTTATGGAAATATATAGACACCGGTTTGGAGAATTTGTATGTAGATATTGGGGATTAAAGGGTCGGCAATTAGTTGGAGGTAACTGTAGTCATGGATCATTATACGTTTCTGGGAAACTGCCCACCTACCCCTCCCCTAAGCCAAAATGTTGGCTTAGGGAAGGGGTAGGGGGCAGTTTCCCAGAAACTTATAATGATCTGTCTTTTTTTAAAATTTATTCTAGATTCAGAGCATTAATGAGTTAAACCATCTACCAAAATTATGTGAGTTGCGCTTCAAGGGAAATCCTCTTTTCCAAGGTAAAAGCCAAGAAAAAAATTGCCCTTTCTATGTGTTATCGAACTTTGTTACTTATTGGAGTTGCTAACAAAATCTGTTATAGTTTGAACTGTGTGTGTGTGTATAATGAAGTAATTTTGATTTTGCAGAGGAGACTACTTTTGACAGTCGTCAAGAGCTGCTTGCTCGCGTACCGTCATTAACCTCTCTCAATGGCAGTTTGGTGAGTTCTGAGTATGTTGTATTTTTTTGTTCAAGTGCTGAGCACTACACTGTACCCAGATCTGGGTTGTGACACGTCATCAGTATGGAATTTCTGCGCTTTTTCCTCAGATGTCGTTTCATGGGGAAACAAGTGGTGGCATCATGAAAGTGCTGGTTGTTTTCTTATTGCTCCATGTAAGGGAACCCAAGACAGTTTTGGATTCTGGATTCCACGCTGTGGATTCCGGAATCCAGGTACTAAATGCTAGTCTATGTCAGTGGAACTTGGATTCCAGATTCCAGTTGTTAGTGGAATTTCGGATACCTTGAGATGTATTCCGGATTTTAAAGCCCAAAATTCCGGATTCCACAAGCAAAATGTTAAATATAAGGATAAATTTCCTGGATTCCAAATCCGGATTCCCTTACGTGGAACAATTCTTAGGCTATTTACTTGTATTACTCCTTTTTGTTAGGTCAGTTTAAAAGAAAGAGAGACTGCAGAGCGGGCTTATCTAAAGAAGTATGCCAAGTGTTGGATTAATGCTGGTGGCAATACTGCTGATGGGCAAGCCAGTTCCCTGAATCCTGCATTTGTAGAGTTACACCCGAGATACGAGGAACTCATCAAAGGTACAACAAGCTGATAGTTGTATCAGTCATTTCTGTTTCTATGCTGCATCTCTACTTGGATTATTTACTCAATTTTTGTTGACTTTCCTGCACCTTCCAGTCAGAGAAACGTGATTTAGAGGCAAGTTCAGTTTAAGGTTCTGGCCCCGGGTTGTTCAAAAGCTGGATAACACTGCCTCAGTTGTTCAAAAGGTAGATAACGCTATCCATCAGATAAATCACTATCCACTGGAAAGCGCAATTGGTTTCCCTAACACTTTTCCCGTGGGATAGTGATTTATCCGTTGGATAGCGCTATCCAACTTTTCAACAACTGGGGCCAGATAAATCACTGTCCATTGGATAAGTCAGTATTAGGGAAACCAATTGCGATATCCAGTAGATAGAAATTTATGCGGTGGACAACGTTATCCTTCTTTTGAACAGCGGGGGCCAGGTAAACTGCAGTCGCAGTTTTTAAACGAGTCAACTTTAATTTTACTGAAAGATGATTGTCGCAGTTATAGACGCAGCTTTTTGCAGTTGCAAAAAGAAAGCCTGAAAACATTCAGGCTTGTAAGGGATTCAAACCCTTGACCTCTGCGATACTGGTGCAGCGCTCTACCAATTGAGCTAACAAGCCAACTGGGAGCAGGACGTTGAATTGGTTCGTTATAAACCTGTGAAATGATGATGATGTAGTCATGAACATATGAAATATCATATAAAAAATCATATATGAGAACAGCCGATTTTAATGGTTTTCTGAATCCCTCAATAATAAATGGTGAAAGTTATCGTCCAGGGCCCAGTTGCTCGAAGCATGGCTAGCGTTAACCAGCGTTTAATACCTTGACAACGTATTGGTTTTGATACTGCTTAACCAATGGTTAAAGCTAACCATGTTTTGAGCAACTCTGCCCAGATCTTCTTTTCCTAATCCAATCCAAGTGCCCATATGTTTTAGAATTGACAGTTGGTTTCCACTGTTAGGGGTTAGTATGGGAGGGGGGTCGCCCCCTTCTGTTCGGCGAGTCTGCCCTCTCTTAATAAAGTTTAAACATCAATTAGTTAATTAGAAAAAACTCGGTTAAGTCCTCAAGTGCGGTCGCAGCCGTTACAGGGACGAAAAGATGGCTTTTTCTTGCGGGACACACGTGGGAAATCCCGAGCGGGCACAGGATTCGTGACACAGGATTCGCTTCATCTTGCCCGCGCGCAGATTCAGCCATCTTAAAATTTCCAATTATTTCTAGGAGTATTCCTTTTGTGTATAGCCAATGTTTTCAAATTGTCTTTCAGTTCATGGAGTTCCCATTGAAGCTGAACGCAGCCAAAGTAGCTCCAAAACGTTAAAAGATTCTTTGATTTGTATCCTTGATGATGTATTGATACAAATTCTATTAAATATCAAGGAGACTTCTTTAATGCACAGTCACTATCCTCTGTAAATCCCATACTTCTCTTACTTCTTTCTTTGCAAAGTCCCGGATAAGAGGAACAACGGTACTTGTCCTCTTTACATACCGTATTTATTCGAATAAGCGCCCAACCTCGAATTAGCGCCCACCTCGAATAAGCGCCCATCCTAAAGGCAGAAAAAGTTAATAAGCGCCCAGCCTCGAATAAGCGCCCACCCCTCCTCCTCCCAATCAAACTCAAATAAGCGCTCACCCCCACCCCACCCACTTGAGTGAATAAATTCCAATAAGAGACTTCCCCGAGGACGGAGTTTTCTTCAGAGTATTTTACAGAAACCTTGCTTTGTTACTTCTTCGCATTTTGTTATTAGCATTGATTGTTTTGTTGCAAAATAAACATACTTCACTTGCTGATAATGGTGAAAATTTAATAAGCGCCCAGCCTCGAATAAGCGCCCACCTCGAATAAGCGCCCACTCTCAAGGTCCAAAAATTTAATAAGCGCCCAGGGCGGTTAATCGAATAAATACGGTAATTGAACTTTTTAAGTTTGTGTGTGAGACTGGGTCGGTGTTGTGTCGAAGTGCACTATGGGACCGTTTTGGGGACGTTATCGCTTCTTTCATTGGTTGTTACGAGATTGCGCAGGAAACTGGGTCAAAATTAATCCCTTAAAAAGTCTCAAAGTGTAATAGGCCATTTCCGAGTTCCCCCGGGCCTCTGTTTCAAAACAAGGGTAGGTGCTCAGCCGTTGATATGGAAGTAATTTTTCATTTTCATGAAAACTCATTTTCACAAGAAAGGTTGTGCACCTAGCCTCATTTTGAAAGTGAGGGTTTTTGGAACTCGGAAGTGGCCTGTTCGACACAACCCCGACCCAGCCTCTCGCGCGACCTAAAAATGGGCCGTTACTCAGGAGTTAATGCAAGGACGTTTTTGAGCGACGCACGTCAACCGGAAGTTGACTTTTTGTACTCTTGGGCAGTGGTTTGACCAAATTTTCGGGGCAGATGATCTCTTTAAGAGTACAAACGCCAAGCAATGCAAATTTGATAACATCAATACATAATTTTAAGGGGAAGAAACTAACTTCCTGTAGACGTGTGTCGCTCGGAAACGCCTTTGCTTAAGCTCAGACGTCAGCATTCAAGTTCCCACTGACTGCTCCTGTCGGTCCATTTATAAGCTTACCACCCCAATCCATGATATTTATGACAGTCCACACTACCTAGGAAACTCCCCTACTCTTTTCGAACGGTGGTATGGAGAGTGACCAACCATAATGTTCTCCTATCAATACCAGCATGTCATCAAGGGAAAAGATTATAAGAGTCAATCTAATGGTCACCTAAGGGTAAATTCTTCGTTTTTTCAACTAATTCTCTCAACTAATTCTTTAGGGAAATGTATGGAGATCGGTTTAAAGAATTTGTATGTGGAGGAGGTCTGGGGAGCGCTTTGAAATTACAAAGCCGCAGTTTTCAGCGTTCTGGGGACTATAAATTGAGGACAAGAGAGTGCGTTTTTCTTTCACGAAAATGTAGCTTTTATGCATCTTTCGATTTATCAGTCACTCAATCAATTCCTACCAGCAATGAACAAATGATGAAACTAAATTACGTACTTTTGCACGTAAACAAATTCTGCGGAAACCTATAAAGAAACTTGTGAAACATTGACTGAAATGTAGCGTTCACATGATTAAAGCACAACTTAAAACAATTGGGCTTTTATGAAAACACTCATAATTACGTTTTTATTCAGATCTTATGATATAGTTTTTGGTTACAACGTTATTCAAACTAGTTGCTTCTTCTTTGTAGGAAGAATTAATCGACTTCTGTGAGCACAGTAGCCGACGTGTTTCGTCGGCCGTCGGTGTTTATTGAAACCCCCAGTGGCGTATCCAGACCTTCAGATAAGGGGCGGGGAGAGGGGCGGTGATCCAGACCCTGAGATAAGGGGGGGGGGGAGCTCAAAAAATTTTTTCCCGCCCTTCGGTCCTCATTTTGGTCTAAAAGTAAGGGGGATGGGCCCCCGGGCCCTTCCCCTGATCCGCCACTGACTCCCTGATCGTGATTGTGTGAAATTCCAGGGGGTGGGGGGTATGACAAGATTCTAAGAAATGCGGGTCTAAAAAAAAAAGTTCCCTCCTTTAGTTTGGGGGTGGGGGAATGGATATTTCCAGGCATTACACAATTGTTTTAATGTGTTGCTTGATACCATTCGGATGCCGAGGTCATAAAAACACAGAGTTGACAACCAGCGTAGGTAAGCCCACATGGGCAAGTACTACTAGCGCCTATGTGGCTTCTGATAAGTTCAAATAAATTGTAATTTTTTCTCAGTCCTTAACAACACCTGTACAGCTCTGACGATCACGTGTCCGGATGACCCAGACAAGAAATCTGTCACGAAGAAATTACCAGGTGAACAGAAGTACCCTGCTAGCAAAGTCACTTCGATCTTTCCTAGATAAGTCCTCATTCCCGACTTGGCTTCTGATAGGTTCAAATAAGTAATATATCCCCTGGGGTATGATTTTCCCACATTCCTTAACACGTGTCCTGATGCCGCGGACAAGAAAACTGTCTCGAAGATATTACCAGGTGAAGAAGCTTAGAACACTTTTTTTAACCCCTAGCTAGAGGGGAAAACATATAAATTCGAAGAAATCGGAAATATGGGAGATTTCTTGATTCTCTTTTGATTTTCTATAAAACAGTAAAACAGCCAGCCAACCGTGAAGGGCAGGGAAAACTACCACGTGATCATAATTTTCCCGCCATTTTTGACACTCGCCGCCGCTTGCCATCCGCAGTTTGAATGAACGTGAACGTGAAGAGGCAGTTTTCACGTTCGCAAACAACGTAGCGTGCATGATTTCTTGTGATATTTTGAATCCTTCTTTAAGCCCAAAGATCTATTTGTATGTCCTGTCATAAAGAAACTATATAAAAATTTAATCTTTCCCAAGAGGAGCGATCGAGGGACAAAGAAGCCAATTGAAGGTAAAAATCTGAGCTTCTTTTTACACTGAAAGATTGCAACATTGTGTTACGTATCACCTCTCTTAGACATCTTCAAGCTTTAAAACCACTTTTTTTCGTAAGAAATGGAAAGTTTGTAGCTAACTTGAGACTTACAAGCGTAGAAAACAAATGTTTGATTTTTTTTTCTTCGTCAATAAACTGGTCGTGTGGTCTTTTGCAGGAACTATGACAATAGGGAAGCTTAAAGGGTTACTCTATCGATTGTTTAAAGTTGACAGTTCCGACCAACGATTATCGTCTGTAGACAACAAGGTGAGGACGTTATACACATCGTACTACAGTAAACGAGTTGTTGGTGATGAACGCCGATATTCAGTTTCCTTTGGTATATCGCCGTTCAGCCAATTAAAGAGCTTTAATGTAACTGTGTATTAATATTCAACTGTCATCCTGTCTTTGATATCCTGAATTGTCTTCTCCCCATGCTACTTAGAAGAAGATGAACTTCCCTTTACATTAAAACGTGCACAATTGTTTTGTGGTCAAAAACATGATAAATATGATCCTCGCGGTCAACATTCACAATGACTACATAAACGTCGCTAAAATTTATACTGTAGTGGGTAGAGTAGTGGGTAGTTTTTCCTTGTGATAAAAGTAGACAATTTGTATTTGTACTTTTTACTGATATCGATAAATACAAGCCTGACCTGAGCATCATTGTGGATACTCATGTAGTATAATGACGCATGAGTATATCCAGCCTCACCTGCATATAAATACCTAAAATCCTTAGTTAGTTCTTCGGCTTGGCCCCTTATGCCCCTCCCGCCTTCTACAGGCCATGTCCTCTTGTTGTTCACTTTCGAAAGTTTTTTGTTTGTTTTGTTACTTGTTTGATGCTGAAATCTCTGTAGTTGCACCGAATACTTAATTTCAAGCCAAGCACTTTAGTTTGTATTCTTCACCTCGCCAACGGAAAAGTCTGTTTATAAGAGATCATGAATTTCTTGTTTCCGTTAGTAGGAATCATTTGTAATTAATCTGCACAATATAACAGACAGAAAAACTTTAAAGTCTTTGGGCCGTTCACTTATCTAAAAAGGCAAACATTGGACAAGAACCGCTCCAGATCTGACTGACTGTTAATAAGCGGATTATGATTTTAGGGAGATAAATCTTTCGTTAGTCCGCACTCTAGTCATAGTATAAAATAACTGTTCAGATAGTAGAGTTGGCCAAGTAAAAATGGCTTATAACGTTTTTTTATCAGATAAATAACTAGCAGCAAAACAACGTTTCAATAACCGGCCCTTTGAGTTTCGGTTTGTATTTTCTTTTTGTTTACAGCTTGGTAGAGAAGTTGAATTGGATGATGACTTACGACAACTCACATTTTATTCTGTACAAAGTGGAGACACTATTTACCTAAGATGGTGACGAGTCTCGAACTTTCTTTGTTAAATAATGCACAACCAGCGTTCCAAAAAAGGTCCTTGTTTCCCGCCATTCACCGCGGTGTTTGATAGAGGTCTTATCAGTGCATGCGCACTCGCTTATAAATGGGGAAAAGTGGGATACGAAACTGTCGGCCGTCTGCTGTACAGTAAACAGCCCCATATAAGAACCTATGATTTTGGGTTTCAGGCTGATCAAGTTCTTATTCACTGGGTGCTTAGTGAGAAATCTTCCTGAAAAATAGATTATTAGAGGTGTCATTAGTATACCTACAATGTTTTATGTACTTACACAAAAAATAATTTTAAAATTTAATTAAAAATAAATATATACTGTGATTTCTAATATAAGTAAAGTATACTGTACTGTATTGGTTTCGTATTCTGGCATCCTCTTTTTTATATAAGAACATGTTTTATTTATCAGGCTGCATTGGTTGTTATATATATGGTGCTTTATTGGTCAACTTTCAGTCTGATGTTCTTAATCCACTTCTTATATGCAGTGTGTTTACTGTATAGGTCGCAAAACTAGCTTGTTGATGAATACTTTTATCGACATGCAGCAGTATTTACAGTTATTGTCGAAACAGCGATTTGTAGTTTAAATCGCAGTTTAACACTGTAGGGTGATATTAGCCATTGTATATATTTTTAGGCCAAAACAACAAACTGCCTTTTGTGTTTTAGCACTATAGCGTGCAACATCTTAGTCTCCCCCGCAGCCGTTTTTTGGATGTCATGCAACGCCCGCCCTCCCCCCTTTTGGGGGAGCGTTGCGTGATATCCAAAAAAGGGCTGCGAGGGAGACTAGCAACATTTATTCTTAATTTGAAAGAATTAGCCCAACGTCAAAACGATGATCATCGCAACGCAGATTTTTGACCTGTTCGTAGGTTTGGTTCGGGTTTGAATTTGAAAGTGTTGCAGGGAATCAAAGTTGATGAAAGTTTGACACATTAATAAACACAGCTTAAAGATTACGGTGTGAGTTGTTTAAAGATTTCTATCCAGCCGTTCCTGAGATATATGAAAAAGAGTTAAAAGGATCAAGATTTTACACTTGGAACAGTGTTTAGAAAGAAAGTTAGTTTCCAAGATCGCACGAAAGGAAATACACGAAAATTTCTTATCATGAAAATATGCTATTAAGCAGCATTATGATGATGCTTTGGAGCAATTTGAGGTATTTGGAATTTGCTTATTCGTTCATTTATAAAGACTATTGAAAATATATGGCTTAAAAGATATTTGCGTTTTATTTGAATTCAACCGTACAGAATTTTTTTTATTTTCACGGAGGTTGTTTGCCAAACACCGCACTTCAAGTTCCTGGTGTTGGATTTTTAACGGCAGTTACAAAATTCGTCTTTAACTGATTTCAGTATTTTTTTTATCGTTGTCATGGTAATATCGATTTTACTTAAAACAATATTTTGACAAACTTCAATTCAAGGTCAGTTAACGGTGAAAATTTTATGGGGGTTCGGCGGATAAGAATAAAATCATTTTTAAGGCGATTGAAAAATATCGGTTTGTATCGATACACCTTAAGCTAGAAATGTCTCTGCCTGCATTAAGGGGTACGTCTTTACTCCAGCCCAGTTATGCACGGGAGGCTCTCATTGCTCATTTCACAAATTTCGCACTAATCTTGGGGTTATCTTAATCCAGCTCTGAACAACTCGACCCAGGAGTGTAACTTTTACATGATAGTACCTTTGTTTTTGCCTATTTAATTTTCCCTCGGTGAATCGGTTCAAATAACCGTGAAATCAATGTATTATTTGAAGATACGTAGAGAAGCCACCATAATTAGTCGAGAGAATTACAAATATTTAATTAACTGATATTTACACAAATAAGGGAGAGTTGACAATTGTGCTTCTAGTCTTAAATGCAACGGTTCATTCTCATCGAACTTTAACTTCTATATCTTGTCACGGGACGTATCTCCCCGATTTATGAAAAATATTATAACTTGATGGAAGTTCTGTATATCTTTCCAATGATCTTTAAAATTAAACCGATGTTTGACTTGATTTAGCTAAATATGTCCTTTGCGGAATAAGTAAAATGTGACGCCAATAAATAATGTTTAAAATGTGAAAAGATAAAGCATGAAGCATGAAATCTGATTGATTTCTGACGATTGTATCTGATTGATTCGACGTAAATACTGATATATATCGTTGTAGAAAGCTTTCTAGGTTCTGGAACATTTTGACTCTTTATTAATTAGTATCAGAGGAGATAGATAACATTTGCTAATGAACTTCTTATCTAAAAGATTAAAGATTAAAAGTGTGCCTTCTTGCACCATGCACGAAATCAGATCACATGCATCACTTCTTAGTTGGTTATTGACCAAGGACAACCCCCATCTGTACCATCATGTATTTTCAGGTTATTCTTTGTGCATTCTATGACTCTTTAGGAATGTTCTAACTAAGTTAAGAATTTCTCCTTTCGTATGTTCAAGGAATGAGGTTTTTGAGCGGGACATCTTGTCTCCGAACTTGAGGTCCCTTCGAAGGTGCTTACCTTTAAGTGGACAGTTCCACATTTTTAGTAACTGACTTAGCTAGTTAAGGTTTTGCGGCTCGATTTTGTTGGTAAAGTTTTTCCTCTATTTATCTTGTTCTCACATTTATTAATATGAGAGTTGTCCTTTGTTTTTCATTAACGAAGTTTGCACTTTTGGTTTTTTAGCTTCAAAGAACCAAGTAACTTAAAAGTAGCTGCGTAAAAGTGTGTTCCTTCTACTGAACTTTGCTTAGTTAGTTTCCTTTACTGGTTATTCTTCTTCAGAACCAAAGAAAGGCTTTTAAAAGGAATTTTGGGTAACAAAGCTTAACAAGTTAATATATGATAATAACAACATAAATATATTATCAACGTAAACATATGGTCAACAACCAACAAACAAATAAATAGCGAGATGCGAAGGAGTAGATTTTAGAGAGAGAGAACGAAAGTGAAGTGCAGAGGACACAAGATTAGTTGAAGAAAGACGTTGTTAGAAAGAAGTTGTTGAGGAAGTTGTGAAGAACTGTGAAGTGAAAGAGTAAGTCTCCTTATAATAAAAAGTTTTATCTTAAGACGTGTTTGGTTGTGAGAGTCACTCTCGCTGTGGGGCGAGAGGAGACTTTTAGCGTCTCTCCCCAGTCTTGCTCTCTGTTTTTGAGCCTAGTTCCAGACCTTTTGTTTGACTGTTCGCGCGTACTTTAATACGCAAAAATACGGACTGTTTTGCAGTCTAGTTGTAACGGATGGCAAGGACGGAAATAGATTCAAACTTGAAAAAATTGGGCCAACTTTCTCGAAATTTAAGGCTATGCCTGCAAAAATCACCCAAAATATTGAGGTTATTGTTCTCTGATGAAATTAGTTTGATATCTTCTTCATACCTCTAGAGGAGGGTTATGTTTATAATGATGATAATTAAAACTTATACAGCGCAACTTTCCATGGCACATGATCAAATGCGCTTTGAAATAAGTTAAAAATAAAGACTGAAAATGAGTAAAATTTACATGCAGGTAGAAATGAAATAAAATGATTATAAATGATAAATAATAAAATAAACGAATTAATTACTCTACTACGAATTAAAAGCTTGTTTAAAAAGATATGTTTTCACATGGCATTTAAAATTTGGCAGAGAGTCAAGGCTGGATATTTCGCTAAGTAGGTAGGTGTATGGGGTAAAGGCACTAATTGATGACTTCAGCCAGAATTGACTTCAAACAGTGTTATCCTCGTGACATACTGAGCCCTTTTAAGCCTGATCAGAATAGCGCAGCCGCGAATCGGGCAACCTTTTGCGTGATCTTCTGTGCGGAAGTTTCCGAGTTCGATACTCAGGTTTGACCTCGTATTTTTATTTTGACTTTTTTCCTTTCCGTGCAGTAGCTCAAATACCCATAAAACGGATCCGATTGCTAGAGAGAGGGGGGTAAAATGAGCGTACCGTCGGCCTACGGCTTGTCAGTTTAAGTACTGTTACGAGTTACAGACGTAACATAAGGACCTAAGGTCCTTTGCCGTTGTATTTTTACCTGTACTGCGCATGTGTACCGCAAGAAAAAAATCTGCCAGTGTTTAATCCCTGGCCAAGAGGCCATTTCCAAGTTGCCTCAAGTCTCTGTTTCAAAGCAAGGCTAATTGCAAAGGCTTTGATATGAAAATGATTTTTTTGTTCTCATGCAAATAGAACTCATTTTCACAACAAAGGTTTTGCACTTAGCCTCGTTTTGAAAGTGAGAGTTTGTGGAACTAGGAAATGGCCTATTATAAGCATTGCCTTCTGCGCATGTCGCATGAACACAAATTGAAGGAACAACACTAGCATTACCTTAATTTATTTACGAACCCTCAAGGATAATCTCAAGAAATTTACATCGTGTTTAGCTGCGCCATATGAATCAGTATTCGAGAACTTTTCTTCGTACGTATAACCTATGTAACTGGCGACACTGTTCACACGAGAACAAAAATTTGCCTATGGTTTCGCGGCGGTAGTACCCTGGGTGCCAGAGACTGCGCGGGTCCGGTTTCGGCCAAGTCTTTAGAGTTACCCGCTTCGCCGCTCGTCACTTCGGCCGAAGATCTGTTGGCCTGCGGCCAACACCGAAGCATCCAACCGCACGCGAGAATACCCAGGGTACGGCGGTAGAACCGAAGTTGCGAGAGTGGTGGGTGAAACTCAGTCGAAGAAGTGTGTAACGAAAAGGCCTGGGATGAGGACTGAAATGTTTTAAGTCTCTGTGTGTGGGGTTCGTATTCGAAATTCCATCGCGAAAAATTTGTTCTCATGCAGACAGTATCGAAAGCTAGAGAGTTAAGGTAAAGAATAGGAGGTGATCAACGACTTGTTAAAGACGGTGCCTCCATACGATCATCTTGTTAGTTCTTCGTGGCTCAACACATTCTTTATCCTCACACACCAGTCCGTTGCGTTCGTTGCACAGGCAGTCGTCATTCGACTTACAACGCTTCTTAAACAATCCGATAGAGTAGCACTGTAACAAAGGAAAAGCATTGCAAAGCATAAGTAACAAGTTGGAATTTAAGAGAAGGTTAATGAACTTAATCTCAACTTCGTCCTAGGGTCTTCTAAGCGTTCGCAATTGTGGGTGCTGAAAATCCGGGACAAAGCTGACAAAGTAATCAAAAATTGCTGCCTCCTCCTCAAGCGCTTCGTTTTTCGCACAGTGGCAAGCGCGAGTGACGGGTGATGAAGCGCAAGGGACGTCTTGGTACGAGGCAGCAAAAACTGCGTATTATATTTTGGATTGTTTTAGATTGCATGAGCAAAACACAACTGCTCTTGGGCTGCCGCCCACGCAATGGGCTGGCTGTTAAGCACCGAGATCCTTGCTTGGTGGGGTTTATGGGAGGGTGTACATGTAATGCTACATTCAAACTATGAATTTTAAGAAAATTTCAGTCAAACTGTCAGTTAACAAAACATATTAGATTAGTTTGTTAGCTGGGACCGGCGCTTCTTTCTTTATTTTTATATGAGGCTTGACGCCTTCAAAAGTTTCCGGGAATTTCGAGAGACAGACCACGGGATAGTGAAAAGACAAAAACTTAATGCGAGACAGACACAGACGGCATTAGGTAGATTTTTCATTTTCGTCCGGATAGTTTTTGGGCATATGGAAAACGAAGATTTGAGAGTTTCTCACGGCTATATTGTTTATGTTGGGCATGGATTGAGACTGGTTCTTACCGGTTTATTCCTGAGGTTAATGTCAAAAGGGCTTGAATAGTTACATCGCCTCATAAAATTGCAGATAACAGTTCGGTCTCGACATAATGACAGGCATTCACTATCGTTTGAGCACCTTGTCTCACCTAAACTGCACTAAAAACAAATAGAAAGTCCACACTGTTAATTAGGTGCCTTAAACAGTAGATAGCTTGGATGGATTACAGCTAAGGTTGATCTAGATTGTCTACAACCCTCTAATTTCTCGAACCTCTACATTTAGTTTTGGTAAGTAGTTGACCTGCACAGCTGAAGAAAAGGAATTAGCCCCGCCGGGGATTTCCCTTTCGTAAACCGTCACTGCCATTGAGAGTGTTTCTATTAAAGAAAAAAGAACATCGCAACTCAGGGTCGCACTCGGACTTTTAGTATCCCAGTATCTCTCCCTTACCACTACACTACCACACCGACCGGCCAAAATTCCGAAAATATTAAGTACATAAACTCGCACACAATGTCATCCTTAACCGACACATCAGCTGACCCTAACCCTTCCCAGAGCTTCAACGTCGTTCATTCTAGGGCTATTCAAAAACGTGTTATGTGCCTTATTGTAACTTAATCCAACTTAATCCAACTTAATCCAGGGAATATAACATATCACATTAATCTGGTTCTCAGGGTCTCTCCTACTCGCTCAATCGGTACGTGACCAGACCAGGCCAGGTGCTCTCTCTACGAGAGGACCCCTGGGAACGAGGTTAATATTACATCTTTCATGACTAAAGGCCTGGTTATCAATGGTGGTATCGACCCTTAAAAATGCCAACGACCGTTCACGAAAGGGACTAGGCACAGCCGCCACTGTTCCCTGCAGAAAGAAAGCAAACTGCTGGCGAGTACAATACAACAGTTTTCGCAGCAACACAATAGCGAGATAACGTTTGTTTTCTCTATTACGCATGGGTAGGCCAACTATAGCAAAATAAAATTGCATCTGCATAGTTAAACATAAGGTAAACTAAGCTTTGTACTCTTACACTACGTTTACTTGTATCTTGAAAGATATCCCGCTCTCGATCCAAAAACCTTGCTTCTGTGATAACTACTAAAAGCGTCAGTACGATAACGATTTTGGCCATCATGTTGAAATTTTACCTAAAAGGAAGAAAAGGAAACCAATAAGCAAAGTTGCTGAGTACTAGAGATAAGACATAGGAACTTGAACCGGTATACTTTCCAGTAAGATTCTTGCAAGGTTATATAGCAAAACACAAAATAATATGCAACTGCCGTGCTAAATTAAATATCAGTCAGTCTAATACCCGTTAAGTGCACTTTGAGACACTGGATGGGGGCCCAGGACTCTCCCGTAGATCCGCCCGTGATTATTTTCCGTTTCCCTTTTTTATAGTGTAGTTTGCATATTTTTTCATTTTGATCCAAAAAGTCTAGAAGCTTACTATCGCTGTTATCACTGTTGGTCAGTTTTTTTCTTCAGTCGTTTTCAACCCGTCTTCAATGAAAAAAAACAAAAACAAATGCCTTGAGTCTAAGGCGATTTTACAAATTCATCTTTCAATTCTTATAAACTCTTTAAATATTTTTCAGTTTTTCTCTTAAACTGTAAAATTCGTCATGCATCTTCAACTTGGAAGGAACTAATTCGAAAATCACTATGTTTGCCCATTTTCAGGAATATCACAGAAATCGTGAAACAATTAAGAGTTTATATGGTTTTAGGGGACGCTGTCACAAAATTGCAGACGTTTGTACGGGATCTTTAACCATGTTTCAAGAATCATAACTTGATTTCTGTTCAACTTTAGAGCACCAAACTTGGTCAAAAACCAATCTCAACATGACTTTTTATATGGTGGTGTCAGTTTATCGATAAGCTTAAATTTGAAACTCGCCCCAGTTCCCTACGCAACTCCGAAATGGCCAATCTCGTGTTTGCGTGAGTGCACTGGCTCTGTTATCATTTCCTGGCAGATTTTAGTTTAGCAGCGCCCATATTTCTTTACGCAAACAGTGATAGTCGATATGTATATATAAAGCTCAGTCTGGTTGTCTGATGCTATTCTGTTGCTTTTAACTGGTGATCGACACGAAGGATGATAATGAATTCTTACCGTCAAAGTGAACTAGTAAAGTGTGTTGCTTCAAACAGCTAAAAAGGTTCTGAAAGCTCTCTGGCAAAGTTTATTAAAAAGAAATTATCGGTCATCACATTTTAAATTAATATAGCACTCATTTCGTGCCTGAACTTCCTGCCGATTCAACTAATCCTAAAGGAAGAGATTCTTTCACTTTTCTAGAAGAACCATGTTGTCCTTGCGTGATGACCCCTGCTTTGTCTCAAAAAATAAATTCTCTGCATTGTTAGTGGAACAATAGAAAGAGGATCCGAGAATCAGGTTTTTCTACATATTGATATCAAAGGGGGATCAGCTTATGGCAAGTTGGGCTTCCAGGGAAAATTTAAAGATGTTCTAGTATACTGAACTACCCAAATGGTTCCCTGACGTTCTTTAAGTCGTTCGCTTATTCAAACATTAGTAGTCTATAGAGTGTGTTTAGACTGTAGTGAAACATGTTGTCATGTATCTGTCAGAACGTTAACTTGACAACTGATCTACTAAAAGTAGTCTTAAACTTAATGGCAAAAAATGACTGTAAGAGTTTATCCGGAGAGTTCGCATTGACAAATATGTTGGAGTTTGCCAAGATATTACCATAAAAATAAACGTTCTACAGCTAAAAGTAAGCATAATTGCTTGCGCAGTTTGAACTGTAATTTAAATTGACTTGCCGCTGCTTTGGTGGACTGTTATTACCTTCATTTTACTTTACCCTTCTTAAGTGCTTGTGATTCGGCTAAGTTTTTTTGAATGAAGACAAGCGGAACTTTCGTCGACAATTCAGTATTCTGACATGCCTTATCAACTTTAAACCATTTTTCAAATTCATCCTCAGCTCGCTTTCAAGAATTATTCAGAAAGGTTTATCTTATCCAGAGTTTTCCCGCCCTCGTCTTGAAATAAATTTCAACTGATTACTATCATGTGGCAACTAATGGATACCTATCTGTACCTTATATCGCAAGTAATCCCATCATTTATAATGATCCTAAGGCATACGCCCTGCTTATCGTAACCTAAAAGCACTCTAAAGTCATTGACTTTTAAAATCGTGTCAAGCGCCAGCTGATTAATTGGTGAGCAGCAACCCTTTTCCATTTGAAAAACAAACTCAGGAACAAAAAAGGGATGGCTTATTTGAACACTTAAAGCAGCCGCGCAGCTGTTCGGTATGTTAATAATCTCTGCATACAACGAAATTACTTTCGCCGCTTTTTATAGTTATAGCATCTCATGCAAGCGTCACTTACTTCTTCTTGCTGACTAGTTCTTGTTTCATGTGCTCAATTCATTAGTAAACAAACAAGTCGGAACCGATTTAAATTCCACCCAAAGAACACGCCACAAAAAAAATCAAAGAAATCTATTCACCATGACAGGAAATGAAAAATTCGAAGTTTCTAAGGCAAGCAATTTACGGCGCCGTAAGGCTCTGTCTAATTAAAAAACTGTTGTTTGTTATAAACTAATGAGAGTTATCGTGTACCTACACCTAGTTCAAAAAAATAAAATAAAATAAAAAGCAAAGATTAGATACTACTGCGCGTCACTGAAAAGCTGTTATGGCTCTTTCGGCCGGTGCTTATTTGTCTTTTCTGGTTCCATTTCACAAACAACTGTTTAATAATGTCAGCGCTTGTTCGAGGAAGACGCCTTCAAAAAGATAAATTCCCTTACCATCTGTAAATTGTACATTGCTGTATTAAAGCCGGCAATTACAACGGTTTGTTGTTTTAGCTTCAGTTAAAACTATAAGATATAGGTGCATTTGGTAGAACTGCGCTAGTATAATACCTAAAAACCAAACTAATTTACTTGATGCTTTTAAAGGCCCTTTTCTTCAGGTTTTTTTCTTTTTTTTCAAAATTAAAACAGAAATATATTTCCTGGGTAGAGAAAGTGGCCAGCGTAACGGCAGACTCAACTCGATAGCGCTGGGACCAATGTTGTGTCAATCTTAATAACTTTGAATGGTTTCTATCCATTAAATGGTTTGCTTGCCAGGATTTTAAATGGCTTCATGGCTCTTGATATATGACGATTTATGTCAAAGGCTTGGCGCTATGTTTTTTTCCCCTGCGACCACAGGCCTATTTTATGGAGAAAAACGTCAATATCGGGATAATTCGTTCAAGTGATAATTTATTGCTAACTTGAATCACCTTTGAACGTCAATAGTTTATCGATATAATTTCTTTTTTTATCTCCCGCTTTGAAACATGTCGGTTTTTGTAAGTTAATGTGCGGCAAAAAGAGTTAAACATTGCGTCGTCACGGCCTCTAAGGGTACCAAAACTCAAAACTAGCCTATTTTTTTTTTTGGAAGATCCTGACATGCAGAAAAACAAATTGTACCATGTGAAAGTACTGCTGAAGAGGTTTCATTTAAATGGTAACACCAGAGGATTTTATCCACATAAAATGCCGTAAATGTGAGAACCAAACACTGACTAAATAAACCGTCAGCTGTATCATGTCAAAGTACCGCTGAAGAGGTTTCATTTAAAATGGTAACACTAAAGAATCAAAAGTTAAAACCACATTCACGTCTTCACTATCGAGTCTAGGAGTAAAAAAGCTAGATTATCAGAACCTACCTCAGCTTGTCAAGGCTTAGAGTTTTGTTCTTTCTCTCTGTGAATGAAGCTTTGTTTAGCGTGCAGCCGACTTTAAAAACACTATTTCGCGATGTTTATGTTTAGATAAAGATAAAGCAGCCCACTGCATGACCATATAACGACATGTTTTTACAATTACTTTCCGTCAACAACGTATTTATTTCATCTATAGTTTTACGCAAGAGCTCATAAAAGGCAAATTAATTCAAAGGAAATAACTTTGTTATCGAGCGATCCGGCAATGAATGACTCCAAAGTAGGGCTAATATCATTATTATATTATAGGATTTGGTACTTTTTTTTACAATGTTGTAAAGAATTTGAAAAATCATCCTTCCTAACATATTTATTTTGTAACGAGGAAATATTTCGCATCTCCTGGTGGTGAGCGAGATTTGGATTAAGATTTGTTTCAGAACAAATTTATCTTGGTTTCAGACTGGTTTTAAACTAAGCATCCTCAAGGAAAGGGAAAAATCTTCCATGTTACATGGTTTCTTCCTTTCCAAGAAGTTTCCATGGTGTTTCCTTTCACTTAAATTGGCGAAAACTTAAACCGCATTTGTTTTTTATGGACTCAGATCAAGAAAGAAGAGTCACCTTTTCCTAATACAGAATAAACACGAACCAACCCCAAATGTTTTTGAAACACTCAGTTTTCTGGTGAATTTAAAGTTGCAAGCAAATGTTACAAGAGACATGAATGTTGCCAGTTTTAGGACTAAGTGACAAACAAGGGGGTTTGATTTACTTTAATTGAAATTATTATTTAGATGAACCGAACGTCACTGGCGGTAGTGAATAGGTGCCATTGAACCTCGCCGACCCCCAGATTAAGTTCCTAATCTTTTCAAAGTTTAAAACAAAGAGAAGTCACTGAAATCTTCCCTGCTGTACGCAGGGAGCTTCAATTATAAAATAATTTGTCTGAATTTTCTAAGTGTACAGGGGGTAAATTTTCTCAGCCAGCTACCAAAGTCAACTACTTCCTTTTATTGAACATTGAAAATCTGCTTTTTTTCTTTTTTGCCAAAACAATTTACGGTAAGTAAGAAAATTTTAATACAGTACTGTAGACAGCCGTATCTTATCTTTTAAACGTAATCTGGTTATTTTACTTCAAGGCAAGATGAAGGTATGATAAAATGAAAAGCGAATCGAAAAGACACCGTCAATATAGCTCAGCCGTATATTCAAAGAATCAAAGCTAAGAGGGCACATTCTAAGAGGATTATCGAGATAAAGTGGCGATATTTGTTTTAAAGTATTGCAAAATTTATTGTCAGCAAAACGACTGGCTTAAATAGGTTATACCAAGATATTTTATCATCTTTAAAAGTGTTTTTAACTAAATCCTTAATGTAATATCTATTGTTAGCGAAAAGACTTGAAT